CCTTATGTACTGTAGGCACACACACACACACAAATATCATAAATGTGCTACAGACTTAACAAAACCGGGTCGCCGCGCGCCGGTATGAAAATGTATATGGTGCCAACCATGTGTATGTGTGATATCGCCGGCTTAGCTTGGCAACAAAAAACCTGGCATAGTATGTGCCAAGAACATGCCTGGTAAAAAGTAGGTGTTACTAATTTATACACCTACAAAAGATGGAGGTTATCCCCATTCCAAGGAGTCATTTATGTTGTGGTGTCCAGGAGGTTTCACGCCCGCTTCTCATACACGAGGATGCGGCTTCGAAACCTACCAACGGCAAGTGCACATGTAACATTTTCCGAGTTATAAGTACTTTCTAAGCTTATTTAGACACCACTGACAAACTGCGACGGAAAACATCGTAAGGAAACCTGGACTTGTAATTTCTAATTATAAGTTTGAATTCGCCAATCGGGATTGAGCAAGCGTGGTGATTTATGTTTAAACCTTCTCCTTACGAGAAGACGCCTTTGGTCATTAGTGGCCACTTATAGGCCGCCTCAAGGGGCCATCAGACCACCACAAATGGGGCCCAGCAGGGTTGAAGCTGATACGGAGCCGCGGAGAACATAACGGGTTACCGGAGCTCCGGCTCGAAGTGCAGGAGTAGGAACGGGGTGGTTTTTAGTCAGTAAGAGTCTGACACTCCCTCTCGCCCTGACCCGGGCGGGACAAGTCATTGGATGATATTCCCCCCTCAAAAAAAAAAGCTTGAAATAAAACTAGTAGAGTTAGTTAAAGGTTCCTACCCTACAGATATATGATTTGTCCGCACTAATTGAGCTTAGCAACATAATTAGTAGGTATATAAGTCAGCATTATGTAAAACACGTGTAGATTCTTTTGGAACAAATTATGCTTTAGAAAGAAAGAAATAAATACCATATATTTTGCTACGACACACAACAAGAATTTAGGAACTCACAAAAAAGCCCATGGTGCGTCGCATCGCAAAAGGCTGGAGCTCAGCTTAATACTGCGGACCGGGCACAGAGGCTCGAGCCCACAGCGCTGATTTTCAGCACCAGCCCGTTATATTACGTACTAGTTTACCTCTATTGCAATAAGTAAAGTGACAGTAGAAATATTCATTCTGTTCTAAACTTCGCTCAACAAACATTATCACATTTTTTAATTGAATACATTTTATTTTTATTATACATCCGAGTTTCCGTTCCTTGACTAGTTCCTCGTCAAATAATTACGTGAGTAGGCCGAACAACATTATAATTAATTTAGAATGATTCCCGAAAGTTAGAACAATGAAAAAAATTACTATTGATGTTTGCAGTGAGCTAAAGTGGTACTCTTTTGATTTGTGTTAGCTTTCTTTGAGTTTTTAAGTGCTTTTGTTGAACAAGAGGTGTCGTATTCCCGGAGTACGGAGTCAAGGGCATTTTTCGTTTCAAGAAAATTTTCAGTATAAGCAAAGTCTGTAGGTAATTAGGTAAAACTGGAGATTTTTTATGTAAATGAATATGTTTGTCCGTATAAGATTAATACTAGCAATTGATATAAATCTGACTGCCTCGTGGGTCGAGTGGTCAAAAGGGGTCTCGGGTTAGATTCCCGGGTCGGGCAAAACTATTATTGGGTTTTTTTTTAATTCTCAGTAATAGCATCCGTGCTATTACTCTGGAATTATGCCCGGTATATGGCAATAGGCTCACCCCCTATTACTTAGGACTCATAACATAAATAGTGAAAAGTGGGTGTTACATTGTACAGTGGCATAATGTGTACCTCTGCCTACGCTTTCGGGGATAAAAGGCGTGACGTTATGTTATTATAAATACAAATGTTATAAAGATATAACTTGGGCTACGGTGCTACCCGCTAATGGAAATGAAGCCGAGCTAAGCGTAAATGAATGCGCTGAAAAACCACTAGCTAATGCATTAAGTGACCAAGAATATTAACTATTTGATCATTTCATGTCATACTGGCCCGGAGGTTGAAGACGTCTGCTTCTCATGCATGAAGGTGCGGGTTCAAAACCTAACAACGGCAAGTACCAATGTGACTTTTTCTGAGTTACACCTATGTACCTACTTTCTAAGATTATTCAGACACCACTGACATACGGTGAAGGAAAACATCGTGAAGAAATTTGGGCTTATAATTTCTAATTAAAAGTTTAAAATCGCCAACCCGCATTGAGCAAGCGTGGTGATTAATTAATAATGATAATAATTAATCTAACCTTCTCCGTGTGAGAAGAGGCTTTACTCAGCAGTGGGCGTTTACAAGCTATTGATGATCATTTCGTTATTTTTACTGTAAATAATATATAAATATCAGCGCAAGGCCCTGTCTTGCACATGCTGAACTGGTCCCATTTCACAGCAGACTAGGGACATGAACATGTATCCATTAGTATCTACTTATAGAATAACACATCTGTACATGTCACTTGTTTTTTAGCGTGAAATAAACTTGTCTTTCTTTCTAAATGCAAAAAGCACAAAATCTAGTGCTTCACAAACATCATTTCGAATTAATAAACTGTAGTAAATATGCTACTATAAAACGAAATTAACCAAAATTCATCTGAAATAAATTTAATTTAAACATTATTCAATTAAATCCTTCATTTACTTGACTTTGACAATTTTGAATGACTATTTATTAATAAAATGGTATTCTGAATGATGTCTTTTAATAAATGAACAATTTTGCACATTTTAAATGTGGAATTAATGAAATACTATATATTAAGTTCTGTACATCACTCAATGCATTAAATATACATCAGTCTATTTACTTTAACCAATTAACTTTCCACTATAAGTACTACAGTAAAGTCTTTACCACAAACATTAAACAAAATCCTATACCATTGAAAAACAGTAAAAGCAAGTTGTTTTATTTATAGAGCGACGTGTAAAGCTATCGCAGCTGTATTGAAACGGCACTTTGGGGGTCTCTAAATATTGGGAACTCGACACTTGACCCCAATGTAAACATAGAATGGAAACAAATGTTGACAACCCTATTTTGTGTGGGAGTCTTTGGACCTTTGTACTGCGTGGTATCTTTTAAAAGGTGGTTTAAAGATACAGTTGTATTTATCAACCCCCTATTACATGGGACTTATAACATAAATAGTGAAAAGTGGGTGTTACACTGTACAGTGGCATAATGTGCACCTCTGCCTACCCCTTCGGGGATAAAAGGCGTGATGTTATGTTGTATGTTGTTGTATTTACCTTCCCCCCCATCCCCCTTGTCAGCAAAAGTAGGCAAAGATCTTACCCCTCACCATATGCTTACGTAAACATTTTAAATTAATATCATTTTTATATTGTAATTTTAATATTCTCTTAGATACAATAATGTCTAGTTCTTTGTCGGTCGTTGCTTGTAATTTATATTTTTAACTAGCTGACCCGGCAAACTTCGTACCGCCTAAAAAATATGTTTCTCGTCTTTTAAACCTTTCCTAGACTTCCACGAACATTTCAAGACCAAAATTAGCCAAATCGGTTCAGCTGTTCTCGAGTTTTAGCGGGACTAACGAACGGCAATTCATTTTTATTTATATAGATGAGGGTTGACATTCGTGTAAAAAAGTTAAGTACTATCAATGACATAATCATCATCTAGACTCCTCTAACTCCATATCATCCAAAATAAGCAAAACAGAGACCCACCCGATCCCCCCCCCCCATGGTGTTTACGGAATACTTAAACCATGAATATGAATATGAAAACCATGCCATTTCGAAGCCAGAATATATTATAGGTACTTAACAATCAATTCAACGACCATTTTAGTAAAGACCTAAAAATAAGAGTTCTAAAAATAGATCGGGTAGAAAAGGCGACATGTATATAAGAAAGCCTCTTATAATAGGGACGATAATAGAATAAGGAACACAATACACCCACACTTAGTTATAAGTCGCACCCAATAAGGGATCCTGTTACAATTCCCTGATTACAAATCTGGATTTTTTGAGAAGAAAGATTTTGTCAACTTAATAATACAGTGCCTAATTTCAGAACTAATCAGTAAGGTTTCGGTTTAAATAAATTTCCAAAAACGTTCAGATATTTCTGGAGTTTTTTTTATGGAATTTGTTAGATTTATTTCTTTAGGATAATATTTTTTTCTTATAGGTATATTAGAGTTTCAGTATGGAAACTGATTTATTAATAGAAAAAGTACGTTTACTTTTAATTAGTTCACTAACTTGTTGTTCCTTGGTTCCTGTCTAAGCCACTCGATCAATTTTGATGTCTTTTATAGAGATCTTATATGCGACCAATATTATATTATATCCTTAAATATAATTCAAGTGTGGGAGAGCCATGCTTCGGCACGAATGGGCCGGCTCGACCGGAGTGATATCACGGCCTCACAGAAAACCGACGTGAAGCAACGCTTGCGTTGTGTTTCGTCGTGAGGTTACCGGAGACCCAATTACCCTCCCCTTCCCCAATCTCCCCAATTCCTGAATCCCCAACGATCCTCAAACTCCTAATCCCTAAAAGACCGATAACGCACTTGGTGTTCCGTCTACTCGTTTACCGGCTTATGCCATAAAAAAAGGTAACAAAGTGACCAATACAGTATTCTACCATAATACGGTAGTTGACCGATAGTCAAATTCAATACTTTTATTGAATTGTCAACTATTTACTATGAATTACATACTTTTCTATGAATTTTGTATTGGATCACAACTTATGACGTCATCATATTTCTACGTCAAATAGCATACTTATTTCCTTAAAATTAGCGAGAAAAAATCCAAAATCAATGGATGAGCGTACGTTTATTTTTTAATTGTTTATTGCATTGAAAAGTTGAAACAATTTATTTTAAACCTAGGAAACTAGCTAATTATACGGACCTCTGTTTGAAAAATAGCGTTATTAAAAGACAATATTTTTTGCACTGGTCCACTACCAGTCCACTCAAGAAAAATAATTAAAAATCTACTTACATGTCATCTTCAGGAAGGTTCAAGGTTATGGAACCCTTGACGTTGTCTCCGTACTGAAGGTAACCGAAGAATCCGACGAAGCCATACAATGAGATGACGATGACCATAGCCACGTTCAGTACTCCAGGACAGCCGAGGAATTGTTGAGGTTTCGCCATCTCGTTCTCAACTGGCATCACCACGCCAATGCCTTCCATTGCGAATATCACTGTGCTGGAAAGAAATAAAGATTTTTATTTATTATTTTAAATATAGGATTGTCTCCTGTGTCGTGGGTACGTTTACAAACATACAAGTTCACATACACATGACACCGAGACCGGGAACAATAATCTGTGGATCACATGACAAAGAGTTGTTCCGTACGAGAATCGCACCCGCGACACGTTGCGCGACTGCCTACGCACCAACCTTGCAGTTGTCATTTTATAATAAGGTACCTATTCAAAGGGTAATTTAGTTACGGGGACAAATTGTTTTTTAGTGTCATCATAAAACGGATGGCTAACCTGAAAACTTTAGGATCTTGAATCGCGTTTCCAGATTTAGTTTTTAGTTTCAAACTTTCAGTAATAATATGGAGTTAGGCATCGTTCACACTAAACGTATTGTCGTCGGCTACTGACTGTGAGCGCGCGTTAAATAGTTTATTGCTTTTCCTTAGACCTACATTATATCTGACATTGGCTATTACGTAGAGGGGTGTCAACAATGAGCATTGGTGTGAACGAAGCCTTAGTACCTACAAATGCCGTTCCAATTGACAAAGATGATGTTTCGTAGGTACCTAACTGAAAAAACAATGTCTCATTCCACTTTAAGTAACTAAAAACCTACAAAGTTTGTGTTTTACAATTTTCTTCTAACAATGTAGCTTAGACACGAGGAGCTTACAGATGAGGGATATTAGTCTGTAATCTGTCATCCGCCATCTTTAAACGTATTGCAACAAAGTTAAGCATACTACACTAAACTAGATAAGGAAGAAATTGGGATTCAGGTGATCGGTGCAATACGCCCTTGAAATGTTTTCCTGACTTTATCCTGTATACTGCATAAAACATGAGGATTTGTTTGAGTGAGAAGGCAAAAGTAGTGGATCCTGGCACATGGCGGATCCAATTTTGCTTTCTATCTCGAGTTAGAGAATAAAGTTGTTCTTGGTGTTCATTCATAGAATTTTATCGGTCATGTGAAACTAAACTTTGAGTGAACTGAGCTAGAGTGTATTATGACTTTGCTAAAGTGCTATTGTGTATACCTCTAGTTTGTTTCAAATAAATGTTTTATCACGTTACTGTTGTACTGCATTTGTGATCACGAATAATCAGTATCAGTCAGATACGTATACTTAAAACTGTACTAGATCATGCAACGCTGCTTAAAACTATGGGCCTCTGGCATAGTTTGAAACTAGTCGAGTTTCTTCCTCGAGCAGTTACGTGAGTTAACCGCCATTATAAATTTGATACATCTAACGACGATTAGGAAACAAAAATAAAGGGTACATACTCATCTATTAGCACGTGTTTGTGAAATGAGCTCGATTTTCAACCTACACGTGACCATAATCTATATACATAGAGGTATATACGTATAGAGACAGACGTGTGTGTTTCCAAATGACTAAAATTAGTTACGTGCCAATCTGTCAAAGGAGTTTTTGAATCACGTGATGTCTTATTTTATTATAGAGTGCTCAGTAAAACGCCAAAGTTCACTTTGAAACATTCGGAGTTCAACTACACCTTGTGCTATTAAGAGAAAGGTTCAACTCTACAATTGTAGTGCCGTTATTTAATGTCAGAGTTTGAAACACAAGGACCTTCTCCTGTGTCGTGGGTGCGTCTACAGTCATACAACACATGACACCCAGACTCAGACCATCTTTGTTTTTAAGTTTTGCCCCACACTAGGATTTTCTTGAATGCCGTTGATGCATACGTACAATTTCAGACACACAATAACATGCAAACCTAAAACAACTATTTGTGGATCACACACACACACACACAAACACACAAACACACACACACACACACACACAAACACACACACAGAAACGTTCCGTGCTACGCGGTAGCCGGTAGCCCAGCCACCGAATCAAGCGTTTAGTCGATTTTACCGGTCGGTCGAGCAAATTACATTGCCGTAATATTAGTTAAGCCTATCCTATACTATATTAGCTCAAAATTATTCGTTCCATACTTTATGTAATTTCTTTATTATTCCTTTATCCTGTTAATAGTTGTTATTGAAATACAAACCATACCAAAGATCTTAATATTTACCCAGGTGTATCTATATAAATAAAATTCATTTTCAACATCAACGACAGTCTACACACTAATTTTACATACCTACAAAAATACAAAATGTATAAAAATATTACATATATACAGACAATGTCGGGCACCTGTGACAATATTTGCAGAAAGTAATAAATAAGTAATTATAAGTTTCCGCGTACATAAATGCATATTATCCAATCCACACAGATAGTTGATTATGTATATGGTTTGATATTTTGTGTTAAAACTAGATTTAAAGATAGTAATTAAGAACTTTTTTTATATACACATATTAGCACCAGTAAATGTTGTGGTTACCTGTAATTGTTTGTTTCACATAGGCTCATTCCTCTTTGCTTGCTTGTATTATGCTTACTATAGTTGTGTAATCAAATGTTGGTAACTCTTAATTAATTAATAAATAAATATAAGTATCTATTTTAATTAATCATGTCTCTTACGTGTTTAACGTCTCAAAAATTATGAAGTGTAGATCAAAATCGGGTAAAAGAGACAAAAAAAGCATGATTGTTCCATAAAGGTTTATTAAAAGTTGTGTAATAAAGTCAAGAATACACTCGGGGACATAATATGTCTTGCGACAAGTGTCGCCAGCGACGTCGGGTGAAGTAGCGCGACGTTGCCGGACTTTGGTCGACATGTCTGGCAACATCAACGTCGCTGTGGACATAAGTTGCGCTTGGCCGCCTTATACGTGGATTTTTGTAATGCCACCTCAAGGCCAACTCCTATTACTTCAAGTGCTTTAACTATTAGGTCAACCATTGAATTAATAATTAAATATTTCATTATTTGTATTGTAACTTTCGTGAGACATACTAAATAAATTATTATGTTTTCGGCTTACTCACCTAGTATCACTAGCATGGCTTGAAACTAGTCGAGTTCCTCGTCGAATTACCACGTGAGTAAGTCGAAAACATAATAATTTAAATATTTGATTGACTGCACTGCACGGTTGGTGCGGTGGCTGGGCAACCGGCTGCCGTGCAACGTGTCGCGGGTTCGATTCCCGCACGGAACAACACTTTGTGTGATCCACAAATTGTTGTTTCGGGTCTGGGTGTCATATTGTGTATGTGAACTTATATGTTTGTAAACGCACCCACGACACAGGAGAAAATCCTAGTGTGGGGCAACGTTTAAAAAAAAAATTCATTGTTTTCTTTTCATTCAATTTAAGTATGTTAAAGAATTTTCACCCATATTGACCCTAACGATCGATGCAATAAAAGTACAGGGTGCAAATTTACAAATTTAAGTCTGTTCGATTACCGTGTTTTTAAAACATCTTTGAATGCTGTTATCTTTCTTTTCAAACAAGGAATGTTTCCTTTGAGTAAAATTTTCTATATAAAATATTAGGAGTAATTCCCCTTCAGGTGGCAATATAACATTCCACCCTGTTTATTATGTCGGGCGAAATCGGGAGACTTCGCTCGACATGTCGCCGATACATCTCGTGAGACATTTGTACCTTAGATACACGAAGGCTTGGCTTTATGTGGATAAATAATATGTAAAATAAAACCAAAATAAATTTCTATCAAATTAATTTCATCAAGAAAAAGCATTGAATTAGAATTGTACCTTTTGAATTTTGGAATTGAAAAGCTAAAGTCGAGAATGATATTGTTTCAACGAAACAATACTAAGTTAAGAATAATAATAATTTTCATTAATTTTTTTAATGAATTATCTACGCAGCAGGTTGCACTTTAGTTAGCAAAGCCAGATTAATTTATATTTACGATGAATTCAAGAACTCAATTTATGTTAATGTAATATTTCTGAAATAGCTACTAAAGTTATGAAGCTTAATAGTTTATCTCGAGAGATTTTAATCTGTTTTTATTGTATCTGGTGTATTATTGTTTCAGTTTGATGAAAACAAAACTTTTGAATAGGTACAGGCAGATTTAAAACATAAAACGAATAATCTATGCATATAATAAAACTGTAGAAGAATAAATGCTGTATAAATAACTAGTAGGGGAGTTACAATATAGACACAAAACCCAAAAATGTGATTACAAACATTTTTGTCTGTCTGTCTGTCTGTTTGTATGTTCACGTATCACGCAACAACTATCGGTCGGATTACGATGAAACTTGGTATGATTATACTTTAATATCCTGGACACAACCTGGGTACTTTTTATCTCAAAAAAGTGTATACACGAAAAATCAAACTTAATTGTGCGGCTCAATTCCTAGACACAGTTACTGTTGCAAACGCAAATATAAGTGTAGAAATTAGAAAATTGAACCCTAGTTTATTGACTAAATAGTATGTATATGATAGAACCTTAGTTCATAGATAGACCTTTATAATTATTATTGTTTATGATTCCGGTTACGTGTCTTCGAGAGTTTTTGTTTTATGTATTGGTCTGAATAAAACTACATTTCTATAGTTAAAACTGTTTATCCTTATTAAAATTAACAATAAGTTTGTCCAATGTTAGGTTGTTCGCAGTGGACTTTACGCTGTAACCGATATTATAATTATAAATGTAAAAATATGTGAGTGTGTGTATGTTTGTTACTCAGTCTCCAACAAATCGATTGAAGGGACTGGGATAAAATTTGGTACAGAGGAAGATTATTGTCTGGGGTACCACAGGCTACTTTTTACCCCTGGGAACGCGGGCGAAGCGGCAGGCAGAAGCAAGTATATCAGTAATCTATACTAATATTATAAAGCTGAAGAGTTTGTTTTTTATTTGTTTGTTTGAACGCGCTAATTTCCGAAACTATTGTTCCGATTTGAAAAAAGATTTCTGTGTTGGATAGCCCATTTATCGAGGAAGGCTACGGGCTATAAAATATCACGCTACGAATAATAGGCGCCAAGCAGAGCGAGTGAAACCGCGAGAAATTAGCTAGTATTTTATAAAATGGTTATATATGCTCTTTACAACCAAACAAACACGTTTAATGTCCATAATGAAGGTAGTTGTCGAAAATATAGACAATACTAGCTTGTACCAGCGACTTCATTCGCGTTAAATTATTCATTTCTTGTTAATTTATACTTTTTTGACGCGACAACGTGTTGATTGGTGAGGCGTATTAGAGAACTAGTATGAAACGGAACGTTTATTGTCTACTCAAGATGGCGACTGCGGTTTGTCTGTCAGTGTCATTAAAATGAATTAATAAAACGAAATAATCTCCGTATTTAATCCGAATTTTGCAGATATATGTTGTCGACTTGAAATCGATTATTTTTATGTATTGTTATTCAAGTAACTCGGTAACTCGGTACGGTAGACTCGATCGTGTCCGTTCCATACTCCGGCTACTACTAAGAATTAAAAAAAAACCCAATAATGCATTGCCCTACCCGGGTATAGAACCCGAGACCCGTTGCCCGGCAGTCGCACTTGCGACCACTCGGCCAACGAGGCAGTTTGTTTCAATTCTCCAAAATAAAAGTAGCCTATGTTACTCCTTAGTACATCAGCTAGCTGCCAATAAAAGTCCCGTCAAAATCGGTCCAGCCGTTCCAGAGATTAGCGAGTACAAACAGACGATGTTATTTTGGTATGTGCATCGTATGATGCATGTAACAAAAAGTGGTTATTTTAATATTCCAAACAGACACTACAATTTCATTTATCTGTATAGATGTATATACATTTTTCTCAGAAAATGGTTTTCTCTGTATGTACATAAATACTGAAGGCAAAATACGCTACATATTTCCATTGCAAGTACTGAATTTGAAAATATTACAGCTTCTACCTAGTTGTAGTCATAAGGATGAACATAGCTAGGCAAGAGGGGAATGTTAGGTTACAAAGTAATTTATGACTTAGTACACGGTTTTAAAGATCTGTTTCATAAAATTTTATCGTAATAGACGGATAGACGTGGTTTTGAGGAAATGTTTTGTATTTTTGTGTTAGATATTTCTTGTAAGTTTGTTATTACATCTTCTATATATATAAAAATGAAACCTGTTTCCCGTTGTCACGCCATAACTTGAGAACGGCTAGACCGATTTGGCTGATCTTTTTTTTGTTGTTTGTTATCGTCAGGAGAAGGTTCTTATGACAGAAATCGGAACGGGAGAAAACGGGGTTTGTGCGTACGAAGTCGCGGGCCGAAGCTAGAGGTTCATAAATATACTAACTGGAACTATTAAATTACATTTAAGAAGAATATTTTTTCTTTCTGTTGACCTAAAGTTTTCATTGTCTTCTTCTTGTTTGTTTTTTTTTGTTGTTACACACTGTGTCATATGTTGTATTTATTTCTCCTTTCGCAGGGCTGCAGGAAGAAATCCCAAAAGGGATATGCAGTACCTATGTACCTCTGTTTTGTTATAATATATTTTTTTTTCTATGTATTGTCTGTGTTGTGTACATGAATAAATAAATAAATAAATAAATAATAAAGACAAAGTACAATACAAAATACAATACATAACCCATAATAGTCAATATAGTCAATACCCAGGTAAAAACACCAATTGGCGATTGCATTTCGAAAAAAATTATGTTATATCTTCGAAAAGAAATAATAAACTTTAGCTCGACGACATAAAACTGCTTCTTGTTTGGGTTTGAAAGTTATAATAAGTAGTTAGGTAAAAGTTTTCTCTTGGTAATGGAAAGTTTTGGGAGAGTACGTTTAGTCCCCGCAGATCTAATTAAATAATTCCTTGATGTCAAAGCACTGAAGCCAATGATGCGGGCTGCGGGATATCAACTAATCAAGGATTAAAGTTCTTTGAGGCTTTTGACAAGCGTTGGACATGATCACTACATAGTATAAAACAAAGTCGCTATCCACCGTCTGACTGTCCCTATTAATCAAGTAATCGAGTAATCAAGTATTCATTGCATCTATAATGTACGTATATACAGGTGGTTAGAAAATACAACCAGTAACAATTATGGACCCTGTCGGGCGATGCAACATTTAAAATTGGTAGGAGATATTTTTCATTTTTGTGTAAATTACGGAAATCCGTAAGTGCGAACTACACGCCGCCGTTTTGTAACTAGCTTTATAACGCGGCTTAACACACACAAACTCAAACACGTAATTGATATTATTCCTAATTCCATAAAACTATACATGAAAAATTGCTGTCGCGTATTCTGAAATACTGTCGAACTTAAACAATTTATTATAGCCGTATTTTTAACTATTGGCCCGAAATTTTCTCTTACATTGAACCTTAATGACTTCTGTGACATGTCCTCGAGAAATGACACGGCTTCAAAACTACACTTGTATAATAATGTAGGGACGTATTTGTTGCGGCGTTGATGGCCGCGCTTCGTCCTAAAGCACTTCATGATTTGCAGCGATCGCACGCGTTATCGGAGCTCTCTAGCGATTAAAATATCAATATAATGAGCGCATGCGGCACGCGTACGAAATCGTGAGCACAGCTAGTATAATAACATAAATAAATAAAATTATAAACATACCTCAAAAACAAAGGCCACTGGGTAATACTAGCGACCATCTCCCTCTCTTTGGGTGACGGAAGGTCCAAGAAGACGTAGTAAATGGTGATCACGAACACGACCAAGATCAGGAGGTTGGCGAGGGCAGAAAATGGCACCAGGTACTTCAAGTTTCGTATTTGGCAGATTAACACTAATGGCACCAGAGTAAGTGCACAGGCCGCTTGTATCGAGAGCGGATTGTCTGGCATGTAGACGTCTAGGATCTGGAAAGAAGTATTCCAATATTAGAGACATGATAATGGTGTTCTCTGTCTAGCTCAGATAATGCATTGATAGGTTTTATTTTTTATTTTCTTTAATCAAACGTTGCCCCTCACAAAGATTTTCTCCTGTGTCGTGGGTGCGTTTACAAACATACAAGTTCACATACACATGACACCCAGACCACGACCAAAAATTTCTGGATCATTGGAATTCGAAGCCGTGACACGTACGGCAGCCAGTTGCCCAGTCACCGCGCTAACTTTACTTCCAAATCTTATTGCAATAGTCTAAAAATTTTAATGTAAACTTAATTTAACCTTTTAATAAATGCATTACGCTAAAAAAGTAAATATTTCGTAGTCCACTTCCACGAATGCATTAAATTTACGAAGTGTTAATTTATTTTCTATTAAAATTTTGTATAGACAGCTTTCTGAATTAATTTTTAACGCTATATAAATATATTATGCTGTAAAAGCATATTCCAGCAATCAATTACAGAATATTTTCGACCGAACAGTGACTGCCCCACTGGCCGAGTGGTCGCAAGTGCGACTGCCGGGCAAGGGGTCTCGGGTTCGATTCCCAGATCGGACAAAGTATTACTGGGTTTTTCTCAGTGGTAGCACGAAGTCTGGAACTGTGCCCGGTATATGGCAATAGGCTCACCCCCTATTACATGGGACCCATAACATAAATAGTGAAAAGTGGGTGTTATATTACAGTGAAGTGCCGTAATGTACACCTCTGCCTAACCTTTCGGGGATAAAAGGCGTGATGTTATGTTATGTTATGTTATGTTTCGACCGAACATAATATCCAGGTTTGTGAGAATGAATGCACTATAATAAATAATGACGTCATAAACTATAAAGTCATGAGTGTAAATGAGACAGAGATATATTTTCTCTATATTCCCACTTCTGTTTATTGCTTGTATACATGATTAATAATATCTTCTATTTTACTACCAATTTACGCGCTATTTTCACTAAAAGGTTTATTTATGGGTTTTGTTGAAATAATTTATGAAAATTTATGATAATTATTCTAGTATTCATTTTAGATGCTTTCATAGATGGATTTGCTTTGAGATACTAAGGAAAACTACTTAGTATTTCTACGAGTCTATACCTTAGTACACTATGTTGCAAATAGCGATGAATTCTATTCATCTATTTGAAACTTCATAGAAAAATAATTGAGTAATTGTTTAACGATTTTTTTATGGGATGAACGACCAGACGGTTCATTTAGTGGTAAGCAATCGGTGCTGCGCATGGACAATTATAACAAAGGCATTACAAGTGCATAACTGGCCTTTTGGGGATTAGAAAAATGACAATTTTTGGGGTTTAAGGGATTGGGTAAGTTGGGGGGTAATTGGGCCTCGGTAACCTCACTCACACGACGATACACAACACAAACGTTGTTTCATGTCGTTTTTCTGTGAGCCCGTGGTATCACTCCGGTCGAGTCGGCCCATTCGTGCCGAAGCATGGCTCTAACACTTCCAGAGGACGATGACTCAAAACAGTCATATATTCATTCTCCTATCATTTAAAAAAAAGGTGGAATGAAGAGACTCTTATACATACAAGAACACTAAAATATTACTTGCACTTTATGGGAAATCATGTGTGTACTATGTAAGAATCCGTAATAGTCGGTAACATGGCAAACACTGTAGCAGAATCATTTTATTCAGTACAATAATTCTGTAAAACAACTCATACATTAACAATTAATTAGAAGAACAAAGTCTAGTCTTAATATATGCTACCACATACTTCCAGATTAAATATTAAAACCCTTCTATATTCTACAACCTACAACCATCAAATAAAGACCTAGACACCAGCTCCTAAAGTTCAAATTTTGTCTACACAAAACTTCCTTCCTACTTTTGGGAGCATTTAAACCGGCTTCTTGTGGTTTTCAGCACTTTCATATAACTCTAAATTTTCCTTATTAACTCACACACGAGTCTTGTGCTATAGATTTGATTTAAGCCTTAAGTTAAGTGGTGGAAGGTTTGAACTTGATTATAAGAGAGTGTTGAACAAAGCTTGTCGTGTGAATAAAGGAAACTTGTTTAAGTTTTGATAATTATAATTGTAAGGCAAGTAATTAACAAATTAGTAAAGTAAATGGAACAGTCGGTTTGTATTAGGTATGAGTTTAATCGTAAAGGAATCCCGTGAAACAGTCGTGCTTTTGTTTTGTAATGGCGCTGTTGACGTTTGGTTAATACCAATAACATATTGTTATTATTCCTATTAATGTCATGGTGGCCTGGGGTTTAAGAGCCCCGCTTCTCATGCATGAGGATTCGAAACCTACGTGATCTTTTCGAGTCATTTATATTTTCTAAGATGATCTAGACACCACTGACAAACGGCGAAGGAAAACATCGTGAGGAAACCTAGGCTTATAATTTCTAATTATAGGTTTGTAATCGCCAACCCGCATTGAGAAAGCGTGGTTTAAACTGTCAAACACCAAGCGGTCACCGGTGACCGCAACCTATTGTTCTATAATTGTGTCTACAAAACCGGTACTCGACGAGTTAATTCAAGCCTTCTCTGTGTGAGGAGAGGCTTTGCTCAGCAGTTTTATAGAATGTTCATGATGATGATGGTGTTGAAATATATCATAAAACATACGATTTAAAGTACATATTTCAATGACAAGATAGGTAATTTCTGGGTAGGAGCCGTGCCGGTTAAGTGTGCTTTAGGCCCTATACATTTATAATACACTAGATAATTAATGAATGTGAAACTTCAAAATAAATAATACTATTACTGTTTGTAATGCTGACTAGATAATAAAGCCAGAACCTTAAATTGCCTAAAAATACATACATAACTTCACGCCCGTCTCCTATGGGGGTAGGCAGAAACTATAGAATGCCAATTACTACGGTTCCTACATACCTCTTTCGCTTTATCAACAGTCTGATGACTAACGATCTTTTCACGCATGCTCGTTGGTTAAGGGAACTTTTAATTTGGCCCTTCTTTAATATATCGCCTAAAAATAAGCAGAGCTATCTTCATTCATAAATAAATTGCTTTGAAATTACATCGTGATTATTCACCAAAGAAATTTCTTTCAAAACACGACTAAATAAATTGGTTCCGATGAAAAAAATCTACTTGACGATTTAATGAAGTAATCTAATCAAACGATGTGACACCGACAGATCCCAGATTGGTTTCTTTGAAGTATCATGTTACAGTAATTTTATTTACTCAAATTTAGATTTTATGGTATCGAAATAAAAGATAACATTAGATTTTTATTCGTTTCAGGTAGTATTGAACTTCTTAGCAAGTTGTTGGTTGGTTGTGAATAGCTATTATAAAAGTTATAGGCGCTATTTAAAAATCTACGATTTTGAATATAGTTAATGGAACTACATAACATACCACAACATCACGCCTTTTATCGCCAAAGGGGAAGGCAGAGGTGCAAATTAAGACACTTTTGGTGTTGCATTTAACACCCACTTTTTCACTATTTATGTTATGAGTCCCATGTAATAAGGGGTGAGCCTATTGCCATATTGTTATACCGGGCAGAATTCCAGACTCCGTGCCACTACTGAAAGTTTTTGAAAAAACCCAGTAATACTTTGCCCGACCCGGGAATCGAACCCGAGACCCCTTGCCCGGCAGTCGCACTTGCGACCACTCGGCCAACGAGGCAGTCGTTTTAGTCATGTAATAAAACGAAAAAGTTTTATTACCTAAAATAAGAGGTCTTTGAACTCACTTCTTTCATTGAAGATCCAATGAACACCACGTAGACGCATAACACGCTGAAGTATGTGATACACATAGAGTAATCCACCAGTTCTCTGAAAAACAAAATATATTACTTTATAATAATATTTCCTCGGAAACTCATCGTTTTTTAACCTCTTTTGCCCTATAAGGTCAATGTACTTCTGTCGGTTTCCTTGTTGATATAGGATGGAATCTCATTTCGAATATTAACTTTTAAGTATTTATAGAATTGCAATCAAAATGTATTAAAATTCATTTCACGTTGTTAATAAACAACAGGTCGAAGCCGTCTACTGCTTGAATATGAATTTCTTCTATCTAAGATTGATATCTTTAAAAATATTCAGGTACATCAAATTGCTACTGTCAAATAATCATTATCTGTCTATCACCTGTTGGTGTGGCTGTTGCCTATACAGCCTATTATTGGGTACTGCTGACCAAAGGCCTCCTCTCACACGGAGAAGGTTTGAGCATTAATTCCCTGGATAAAATGTAGTTTGGCGATGTCAAATTTGTAATTAGAAATTATAAGCCCAGATTTCCTCACAATATTTTCCTTCACCGTTTGTCAGTGGTGTCTAAAGAATCTTAGAAAGCACATATAACTCGGAAAACGCCACTTACCGTTGGTATAGGATTTCAACAGCCGCGCCCAACATGTCAAGAGGACGTGGTGCCCACAGACATAGTGTTGTGGTGGTGCCCCTGAGGTTTAAGACGCCCGCTTCTCATGTATGAGGGTGCGGGTTCGAAACCTACCAACGGCAAGTACCAATGTGACTTTTTCCAAGTTATATATACTTTCTAAAATCATTCAGACACCACGGACAAACGGCGAAAGAAAACATCGTAAGGAAACCTGGGCTTATAATTTCTAATTATAAGTTTGAAGTCGCCAACCCGCATTTAGCAAGCGTGGTGATTAATGCTCAAACCTTCCCCGTGTGAAAAGAGGCCTTTGCTCAGCAGGGGGCATTTATAGGCTGTTGTTGATGACGCTTTTATTGTATAATAATTAGTTTGGGCTTATTGTTTGACAAAGGCTCATGAACCTGACTAACTATCTAGACCACTACAAAAGCAACTATTTCCCTTTCAAGCATTGCTTTAGACAATAATTTGTTAAATCTTAAACATCTAAATATAATCTGACGAAAATGTCTATTTATATACTAATTTAATTAAGCTAGACATCTAGACAAATAATGGTTCAAGATTTTGTAGCTCTTAAGATGAGCAGAAATAACAAAGTAATTTTAGTTTATAGTTTCTAATACCTTGTATAAAATTCAAATTAGGCTCAGTATCTGGGTTCAACGTATGATTTAATATCTTCATCTTTACTCGTGCCACATAGTGAATTGTTTTTAAACAATCCGCAAGGATTAAGACTACATTTAAACTGGATCAAATAGTACTTTTCTGCCATATCACCATCAGCAGCTTATAAGTGGCCACTGCTAACCAAAACCTCGTCCCGCACGGAAAAGGTTTGAAAACATTACTATGCTTCTATAATTTTACTGACACTCTGAACTGCCATTAAATGAACGAGGAAAAAAGAGGGAATGTGATCACACGAGGTGCAATTGGTGGGATGTGGTTCTGGTGCGACCTTGTAACTTTCGTTCTACCTTCCTGGTGCGTTTACAAATACATATGTGCTTGCGAAGTAGATAGATCTTATTGTATTTAAAACGGACTAATAAAGGAATTATTATATTACAGTTTCTATAAAAATTAAAAGTGCTTAACCGACGAGCATCCATGAGAAGACTGTTAAGGAAGCGAAAGAGGTACATAAGAATGCTGCCTACCTCCATGGGAGATAGGCATGAGATTATGTATGTATGTATGTGGAAAACAAATCAATCTTTTCTTACTTTATAAAATTGCCCCAAGTTTGTAATCTTTTCGGTCCATAAGTAAATGCCGCTCCACAGGTTTCGGCGAAACTAAGTGATGGCTTCTTCGCATCTACACAAACTTCTTGCGATGTTCTTACCTAGAAATGGATAAAAATATATAATTGGGATGATGACATAGTACGAAACTTAAATATCTAATTAAGTAGTCCGTCAGTTATATAATGAAAAAATATTAGACACGTAATTGTTCATTTTGATGTATAACAAATTGATACTTAGATATAACGAATCAAAGTTTAGGAGTGGGGGCTAAAACGTCATTTCTACGTATAAAATGTACTTACATAGAAGTGACGTCACGCGACATTTCAAATCAATATATCGTCGAAAGTATTCATTTCAGTAAGAAAATAAAAAATACGTGTCTAATGATTTAAAATAATCTACCAGACGGACATTAAAATAAAAATTAGGCATCTACCCTTTTATTATCACAAATAAATGATGTTTTTGTCCCCCAAAGGATTATCATCATCATCATCATCATCATCATCATCATATACATTATTAGACGAAAGATGTCTCGTAGGTCCAGATAGTATCAAAAGGTCTCCCCCTATCCAAAAAGAGAGACAAAAGGTACTGAATATGTAACATCAAATCCTCATTGAAATTATTAATAAGAGAACTGTTCCCTGTGTTACAAATTTTCTCTTGAAACACACACATGGTTTTAGGATAGCTTTTATGGCTATGCATGCCATACATTAACAAAATAAACATCTTGTTATTATTTAATGTTTGAAATAAGTTTAAGTGTGGGAGAGCCATGCTTCGGCACGAATGGGCCGGCTCGACCGAATTGATACCACGGCTATAACCACTACAAATTCGTAATCCCAAAACGTCGGCACTTGTAACGCTTCTGGTGTTCCTGGCGTCCATGGTCAACGCCGATTGCTTACCATTGTGATCCGTGTACTCGTTTACCGGCTTATTCCATAACATAATGGTGTACATTATGCCACTGT